TCAAAGGAATAGAGTCGACTGAGAATGTGTGGCCATGATCAGAGGCACTGATCGTTATCCTTATCAATGTATGAATATATCATAGGCCGAGCACTTCCGGTAGGACTCATTTCTTATTTTTGTATCTGCCTTAGACGTTAAGTGGCCAGTCTTCTTGCCAGCGACATGGGCGACAGGAAGGTGAAGCAGTCAATGGTATGGCGGTCGATCGGCCAAAATGTCCCCGTATTTCAGAAGGTTCATGAGGACACATGGTCAAACCAACAAGTTCACACAAACTTCCCACAGAACGCCGTCCGCGTGGTCGGGCAACCGAACTCTTATGTTGCGCTGTGGTATCGTAATGGAAAGCCGGTTATGGGAAAAGCCTGGAACGACTCCGGTGTCGTGCAGGTAAGTCATGCTAAGAAGCACTCAAAACCAGATCTGAGCAAAAAGATTCCACTGGCCAGTACGTATCAAATCATTTCCTTCAATTCTCCGGTTGTCGTGTTTCAGGAGAGGTCGCCCCAACACGGCGAGTCGGGGTGGTTCAGTGCCCTCGTGGTCCTTTCCCAGGCACACGTCGTTCTACGGGTCCTTCCCGGGGACCATGCAGTTTCCCGCATGCATGACCTCCGCACCCCGGGGCCTCACGGGTTCCTAACCCAGGAACAGGAGAGTTGATGGGCTACGACAAGCGGTAACAACTCCGCAGCACATGAAGATCTATTACGCTTCTGTCGGGTCCCACCCCTAGCGTTCACCCAAGCTTACCCTTGCTGCGACACTTGTACACGGCACAACACAAATTGAACGCATAATTTATTGGCGCTAGTTTCATTGACGTCTTACATCTTAGTTCTTGCCGGGCGTTGAGATAAGCCGGTTTTTGCAGTCCGATGAGTGCCCCAGGTGCTTCCAAATCAGCTGCCTGCGAATTCATTACCTGCCATACTCTACCTGTATACAGCACAGACGCTCCGTACAAGAGACCAGGTTCTATCACGTCCATTTGTCGCCGTGGAGTGCGCGGAAAAACGACAAAAGGGCACGTCGAATTCAAATCGATGACACGTGACATCGCGCCAACCAGTCACGTGTTACGGTTGCGGTCACTCATCGGACTCGATTTCACGATTAGAAAGATTTCGTAATCTCTCTAATCATGGAGAGGCCCGGCTCGCGCTTGTAGTCGACAATCGATTCCGACGGTAACAGCGGTAACAAGTGCCTGCAGCTGACAGTGTCTCTCGGGTGTAGCGGGAACTAACTTACCAGCGCTCCGAGCGAACGGGACAGCATGCCCGAACATGCTGACGGGTGCTAGCAGGCACCCCTAGCCGTTCGCCTTCCTCGCGTTGCGCCGATAAGCGTTCTCCCCGAATGAACGAAGCGCCAACTGGCAGATGCGGCTCCCTATATAACCTCTGCTGGAGGCGTGGCCGATGGCAGAGCACGCCCGTCTTAGGTTCATGTGCCGCCAACGCGAGCAGCGGCGCGACAGAGTCTGGGCACGCGATGCGCCTAACAATAAGACGCGTCGCGCGATCCGGCGACAGGCCCGGATCGTATTCGGCGAAAGACAGCAAACATTATCGTCATTAATCATGTCGCATCAACTTACAATGTACTTTTCCAGCCGCGTCTTTAGTTTGCCATCCGGAATTATTACAGTAGGCAGCAAATGAGAAAATGAATTGTTGAGAGATCAAGATTGCACCAATAGGGTGCGCTGACAAATCCAAATCTGATCTATCGGTCCACTCGTGACTCCCATCCACTATTTCAACCGATTCTTTCCATACGTAATTAATTGTCAGGGCTGTCCTCCCTCGTACTACCTACACCATCCCATGTCGCCATTATGGTGATACATATGTCGCAAATATGAACAGGACCCAGAGGTATGAATAAGCGGTATTGGCTGAAAATTCTCCTTATTATAGTCAAATAAGCAAGTATAAAACCAGCTCACTACTATTAACATACTCGCTATAAAGCCAACCCGGCTTCTAATCCTCGATCCTTCAAGTGTGTCAGTCCATCTGCACCACTCCTCGCACACGAGCACATCGTTCCCTCTCTATCTTTCCAAAGACCGACATTCACAACGTTGGCAAGAAGGTTCAAGAACCGCGTATCCGACAGGGATAACCGCAACACTTCATTATACAAACCAAACTTGTTCGTCCTGATTTATGTTCCCCGCAAAAATGAAAGTGGATAACAGGTACACCATGTCGGAAACATCAAGGATTACGGCCAAGAAGACAAGAACATCCGTCCGTCCTCCATCAAATCTGCGATTACTTCGTGACCTTACCTGCTCCTCGCGGACGCGGAGTCTGAGCAGGCAGTTCGGTCGAGAGACGATGCTTGGATGGCATATACACGGAAGTGCAGAGGGGAGTCTGGAGTTCCAAACTACGCTTCGCGGTGGGTAACAGCGCATACCCAACAAGGGCTCGATCCAGCGACCTCATTTTTGAGCTGCGTCACTATCCGCATTCTCCTTTATAAGTCTGCTAAAAGGATCGTTAAGCAGACACGAAAAGCAGTTCTAGACTAACGTCCATCAAACGCAACGGTGTTCACTCATGCGCAAAACTGACCTTCCCTAGGCAGTCATATAGTGGTGAAAATTATCGAATACACTCCTGCTAGAATGTGGACATCGCATTTGCCTTGTGCAAGAATTCCTATATTAGTATTAACCCATTGGAGTTTACTCTAGCTATGTGGTGCTTATACGCTTTTTTACCGTGCGTTATTTTGAGGATCAGCACTATTAGTTGATACTGCGGACACTGAAGTCATACCACACCTCGTATTCCACTTCACATCTGTGGCCGCAACAAAATGCAGTGTATCCAGGACTGGTACACTTTGCTTCCGATACTGCTCAGTACCTGCAAGACCGAGATTTTTCCCATGCTGCGGCCACACTACGCGCTTTTTTGCCGCATGCATGCTCAGCGGCAACAAAGTATGTACGTCCAGACATCGAGCCGTGTGGTCAATGGATTGAACAGAAAATCAAGGAGTACGAAACTAACGTTTTGCATTTTAGTGTGCCTTTGCGGCAGACCACAAGGCATTCATCGGAGCAGAAGTGAGCGGCAAAACCATTCAGCTCCTCATCTACAAAGGAACTCATGTCCAAAATCAGTTTTATTACGACTGGATCACGTTGTCTGCATGGAAGGTTTATCCGCCTCTTTTTCATAAAGTAACATGAACTTAGAAAAGCTCCTTGTAGTGGAATTTGACTGGATTGAATTACTGTACGTCAATCATAGAGCCAAGTAATTTTCAGTACAGTTACGAAAGGTACCTTGTACAGGGTGGGGCATAAATGGCAAATGGTGACAAAATAAATGTGGTTCAGCCAAACTAGAAACGAGATAGCAACTACAGCATAGTCTAACCACATCCTGGCAATTATTGTTTAACAGTTCCAATCAGTTATAGTGTTCATAAACTTGGCAATTCCTTCAAACGTACCTGACAGAAGCCGACCCTTACGCTTCCCTTCAGAATTTCACCTCATGCTTTTTAAAAAGAGTTTTCAGCGCTTCATTGAAATTGTGTTGTTTCATAAACTTATTCAGCTTCATTATCAACCACATCGAATAATCTACTACACAGTGGTTGGACACGAGAGGGCTTAGTTGGGTGATCTCCGTCCGACATGAAACCAGACTAATTTGGCATCAGGCCTTCAGAAACTCAGTCTGTGAACCGGAAAACGGCCGTGCTGGTGAATCCAATTGTTCTAGCGGAGACCCTCTTTGAAATATTGTCTTCAATAGTAAACGGGCGACCGTTACTAAGAAATTCTGTCGTCGGCGCGTAGGCCTAGAAATCCGGCTGATTCTGGAAGAAGTGGTGTCTCAAATAACGAAAATGGAACCTAGAAACAATAGGATTATATGCGAGATTACGAATTGGAAAATCCACTTGAAAAATCTTAATTATTCAACTGCCATTTTGAAAATCAGCCTTGTCACCATACTTATGCCATACCTGTAAGAAGGCAGTTTGAAAAAGAAGGCACTATCAACAACGATGTCCACATAGAAATGCGAGAAACAAGGAGGGGAGAAAGAAAGCACAGATGGAAAAGGGAAATGTGAGCAATGGGAGGTTGTAGTAAAGCGGACGGTAGAAAGTGAAGAAAAAAGAGTGACGGGCACCGCAAAGAGAAAGGGATGGAGTTAATATTATCCGTCACATCTCTGCTGGTAGGGGTGCGGGTCAGGAACAGAACTAATTGTAAGCACGGTGACACGAAAGCTTTTTGAAAGCGCGCTCCTCCATCACATGCAAATCTTTTCGTTTCTTCAACGAAAACTTTACCCTGATCGGAAAGCGCCATGCAACACTGTGCTTACTGTGGCTTGAAGGCCCGCTGTGCATTCAACGTGCACCCCGAGTACGGCGACAATGAAATTACGAATTGAAATCGATGATATCTCCTGCGCAACTGAGCTTGCTAAGGTTGAAGCGATTTCATAAAATGGAGAGACTATATGCAAACGGTATGAGAGGTGATACGATGTAGTGAAGAATGTATAACGACCGTGAAGCGATGTAAACCTCATATATTACAGTCAAGCAACAATGAAATGAGTACCAGACAGTTGGTTCGATGCGGCTCTGCGGCTCCAATCTTTTGGAAGGAGAAGAGTTTGCTCGGCAATTACGATATAGACGCACAGAAGGCTTCCTTCGTAGAAACTGACAAGTTTTGCGAGGTGAGTCCTTCTACTCGTCGGTTTCTTTT